GTTGTGTTGTAATTTAAACTTAAAGCTGGAGTAAACTCCCATTGGTTTTTTTCTTTGAATTTAAGCTCCAAATTTGACACACAAAATAGCTGAGCATAACTGAATTTTCTTTGTAATTTTTTTCAGTAAGATCTTTAACTCTTGGAGATGAAACATCTTAAAATGTACCTCTTTGATATTTAGCTCCCCCCCAACCCCGTTATGTTTTCTTCTAAATTACCATAACCACCAAAAATGCCAAATTTAAAAAATACACATTTGGATATAAGCTATTTTGAAATTTCAAAATCAAATACATGAAGAATTATTTCCCTTTACTTCTTATAACCAGGGCGTGAAAAATCCACTTATTCAAATATCTTTGAATATGAATCTTCCCAGGATGCGTGTCACTGACTTCTGAATGGTCTAAGCTTGTATTTAAAAGAAAAAATAAGTTTCCAATCGCTGTGGTTGCAAAGATGACCATCCAAATTTGAGCACTTAAGTTAAAAGTAATGCAGCAATGTCATCCCAAGCCTGCAGAGAGACAGCTCAATTGACACCACTGGTGTTGGTTTGCAGAGGAGTTCCTGTGGCTGGTGCTGCTGTTAATCAGCCAGTGTGAGCGGTCTGGCTGCCACTGGGGAATACCCCCAAACTTCCTGGAGCAGGGGGCAATAGAGATATACTTCCCCTTGGAGTAGAATAATGTATGTGTCCAGTGTAGATTGATTTAAGTAATGTAGCAGGAAACCTTGAATTAAATAGTCAGATTTTTAATCTTGTTTTGCATTTGTGCTGCTTTGTTTTCATAAAGAAAGGTTGATTCTTGTTCTTTGGTAAACATTAAAACATATTGATTTGCAACTAAATATAGCCTTTCTACTAAATTTGGTACTACTTTTTGCTGACAAGCAAGATACATTATACCTATACACATATTTAAACACTTATTTAGCTTCGCATACGTTTATTCAAATTATTAATTTTCCATTGTTATGTTAAAAAGTAGGGAATGATGCATTTCTTGTTTGCTAGACCATAAATGCGTTAGTTGTAATTTGTGTCAAGTGGAATTTGGATAAAAAATTGAATTTAATTAAAAATGCACAAAAACAGGATTTTAAAATTTATTAGCTAAAAAAAAATTACCTTACATGTGCTAGATAAATAAGGAAAAGTTTATCAAAACATGTTTTAAATACAGAACATAACTGATTTTTTTAAACAAAGAAAGTATTATCTGTAGTCAGTGAATTGAAACTGGTTGTTTCTGCTCACCACGTCCTTCAAGATTTCAGAATTAGTAGATCTCATACTCTCACACCCAGTTTTTATTCATAACATGGAAGAGGAAAACAAGCTTTCCTGCTTTTTCAATTTCCAGTTGGTTTCTTAAATTTGAGTGAACTAGGCATTGAACTGAACTAGTTGAATTAACTCAAATGAAGAAAATATCCTGTCTGCAGGTGCAGACGAGGCTACTGTTGTCAAAAACTGGTTTAGCATTTCAGTAAACTCTGGCTCCAGGTGCTTAACCAGTGACTTCCACTAGTTCAGTGGTTTGACTTCTTTAAAACTGGTCAGCAAATATACTGCTTAGTATTAATTATTTAGTGTAAATGATTTTAATAAATGATAGTAAGTTTAAGCCTTAACGTAAGTTGTCAGCATTTCAAATTTCATTACATAATTTTTTAAAATAAACCCGTATTCAATTTAAATCTGATTTTTTTTAAAAACAGAATTTAAACAATTGATTTGTATCCATGATGTAGGGTTCCCAACAAGCCAGGTAGCAGACACTGTGTGGCTTCTTCCTACAGCTACACAGTAGAGATCTACTAGAGTGACAGAAAGGACTTTTGTAGAGCCTTTTGCTTGGGTGAGTGGTGGTGGCAAGGGGCCACACCCATGCAAGAGCCCTCTACTGAGGTGAAAAGCAGGGCCCTTGCTGTTACTAGTCATCACGTTGGTTGGGACCTCCCTGCTCCTCACACCATTGCTTTCTCCTTGGTTGGGCTCGGATTTGATCCAGGAGGAAAACCTTCATCTTCTGCTATACCAACAAAGGACTCTGTGTTTGAACAGAATAAAATTTATTGAGGGGAGCAGAGGCTTGTCCAGTATTAATCAATCTGTATGTGTGGTGTTGGGGAACATATGTTCTTTTTGTGTATGGGAGGACAACACTAATTTATTTGGTATTTGTATGGAGCCTCTGGCACTAATTAGGAGTACAAACTTCAGTGGTCAGGAGACTCTGCTCTTTGGGCCCAAGAATTTTGGGGATACCTAATCAGGAGGGAGTATAGCTCAGCGCACAGGTGTATTCAGCTTGGCAAGTAGCCTTATCCTTGTTCTTGGAGGTACTGGGTGAATTTTTCAAGTCCTGGTCATAATCTAATGCAGTTCTACCAAGTTTAACTGACAGAGCTGCTGCTATCCGTCAGCTAATTCTGTTTTGAATCTGTCTGTCTGATTCACCACCTGTGTCTTGGGCATACTCTGGTGAGACATGCTGGATAGCAGGGATATGGGATGAGCAGCAGGGGTGGAGCTTTGAGGAAATGTAGTAATAGTGTGGTTAGCAAGGATGTGCAAGAGTCCTGGGGAGGAACAAGTTTGTACTTGGAGGTTATGGTAGAAGGGACAATGGAAGGGGAGCCCAGTTCTCCTGTTGTTCAAGTGGCACTTGAAGGGCTCCCCTGGTAGTTCTGGTGTGTCTATGGCATGCTGAAGTAGCAGCTCTATGCAAGCGCTTTACCCATTGATGCTGGAAACAGAGACCCAGGAGTGGTAAATTTCAGAAGAGGTGCCTTTTAAGAGCAGGACTTATAACTGAGTAGCTTTCCTTTACCTTTTCCAGTTAATGGTAGTCCTATTGGAGGCTTCTGAGGTGGTAGACAGAAAATGTGTGTGTTCTATAGGTCCCTTTTGTCTAGGAGATCCCTCCTCCAAGTAGTGATCCAGCCCAGCCCTACTCATCTTTTGAGGCCACATGAGATCAGGCCTCACTAGCTTAGCACAGTCCTGTTTAAAATATTCATCAACGACTACTTCATTTACAACTTCTTGTGATTCTCCTAATTAATCCCAGGATGCATTTTACACTCCATATAAATGATATAGAAAATGTATACTTTATAGCCACAACTCAAAATGTTAAATCAAATTGTTGAGTTGTGCTCAAATGAAGTTAGTGAAAACATTCTTAAATTTTTTTTGTCACTGTTGCTGTGTACCACTTAAGTCATTTGACCTTCTTTGAAAACATAATTTCCCTCCACTCTGTTAGTGGCACTGCCTGGGCTGACTTCTGCAGCCTTCTTTATACTAATAACATGAATCAGCATTTCCCAGATTTTGAAAGCTGAGTCCTCCCCTTTGGGAAAATGGAAATAATCACCCATCCTTTGCAACCCCACCATGTGCCTACACTTGGGATAATGCTTGTGTAGATCTTCGTAATATGATTAATACTCATTTGTTATGCATTTTGAGCATGAAATAACTAACAATGATGACATTTAAAATATCTTTGGCAACTGTGATAGCATCCACCAGTATCAATGTGGGCTGGGCAGGGAAGGTGCATAACGCTTGCATCTTTAAGAATACAGGACTGCTCAAAAAGCTACAAACAGGGACTTTATTTTTCATTGGTGATATTGAAATGCCAATCCGGATCCTGGGGGACCCAGCCTACCCCTTGCTCCCCTGGCTCATGAAGCTGTACACTGGCCAACTTGACAACACCAAGGAGAGATTTAACAACTGATTTGGCTGGTGCAGAATGACAGTTGAATGGACTTTTGTTGGACTGAAGGGACAGTGGCATTGTTTACTGACAAGATTGGATCTCAGTGAGAAAAATGTTCCAATAGTTATAGCTGCCTGCTGTGTTCTGCATAATATCTGTGAAGCAAAGGGGGAAAAGTTTCTGCCAGGGTGGAGGTGGAACGTCTGTCTGCTGAGTTTGAACAGCCAGACACAAGGGCTATTAAACGAATGCAGTGCAGGGGTATGGGTACTTTGAAAGAGCACTTTAACAGTGAGCTACAGTAACATGTTTTGGTGTACTGTGCTATACCTGGCCTCGTTGTTTTGCTCCCTGTTAGGAATTGGTGGTGCTTGGTGAACATCTATGACGGGGTCCCCAATGCAGTGCCTGCCAGCGCAATGGCGCCTGCCGGGGCAGTTGTGTGTGCCCGCAGGACACTGCACCATCAAACAGCCGTCACTGAGCAGCATTGCCGTTTCTCAGCGGCCTCTCGGCAGTGACGCTTGTTGCCCCTGCCGCTTCTCAGCGGCATTTTGGTGGCGGAGTGTCTGGTGCCTGCCACAGTCTTCTGGGAATAGGAATATGCTATTCCCACAGAAAGGTTGGGGACCACTGATCTATGAATATAACACTGTCAGTGCACCTATTAATTTTGTCTGTCAGTGATCCTATGAGTGGTCATATTGTACAGTAACAAGTAATTGGTTGCTTTCAGAAATGGTTGGCATTCTGTAGCATCTGTCGCGAACTAATAAAGATGAATTATGTTGCAAGTATAATTTTTTTCTGTAACAAAATCAGTGAAAAGAAAAATCTGTGCAATTTTAAAGCAAATACATCAAAACTTCATAAATCCCATCCATTTAATTTATTAAGGGGAAAGAACATTCATGTCTATTTTAGCTACACACACCAGCCATGATTTGACAGGTCAGTGTATGTGAAGCTTTGGTTGTCCTTAATGCCTCCTGGGGTGAAGTGGTAGAGGTGCAGTGGTCCCTGATACCACATGGAGTGTTGTGCGAAGAGGTGTAGGGAGGTGTTGCAATGGAGTTCTCCATGGACTGCAAAGGGAGGCGATCCTGGGATTGTTGAATCTTTAGGTCCACAAGAGTTTGCAGCATTTGTGTTTGCTGCTAGAGAAGCCCCATTATATCCTGGTGCTTCTCCTCCTCCTTTTCCTGCTGGGACTTCTTGGCCTTTCTCCTTTTCACTCTTTCCTTTTCCAGGCTGTCTGCAGTGTTCACCCCTCCACACCCTGTGCTCCTGGTTTGATGCAGCACTGGCTTGCAGGATTTCATTGAACATGTCATCCAAGTCCTCTTCTTTCTCTTCCTTTTCTGACTCAGACGTTCAGTGGATGTGGCGCAGGAACCCCTTAAGGCAGCAACGGCAGATAAAACGCACAGAGGTACCATTGTCAGTGTATTCACAACGGAAAGCGAAAGTTAAGATTCATAGCTCCCTTCCCTTGCTCCCCTAAAGTTTTAAATGACCTGCTCATGGACACATCTGCTTCAGAGTGCTTGTGCATAGCTTCACTAAGCACCAGCCAGGGTGAGTGTGGCCCACCAGTTATGAGGGTAATGTGGAGGGAATTGTGTGGCTGCATGAAACTGAGTTTCCTGAATATTGGCACCATTTTCCACAGGAGGTGGTGACTGTAGCTCATATGTCACTCCTGAGGCTAACAAAGGCAGAGAGAGCATAGTGGCTGCTGGCATCCCAAAGCCACGTAGGCCCACATGCTGCTAGTCTGTTTACTGCAATGGTACTTGCCAAAGTTATTGCTGAGTGGCATGGGAAAGTGTCTGATTGCAGAGGAAGATATAATTCTGCCATTCCTAGAAACCTTCAGGAGAGGATTGTAGAGTACCTCCATGAAAGTGTCATCAAGATCTCTCAGGAGGATTCAGGTGCCATCCCTGTGTACATAAACTGCTCTGCGTGACCCCCTTGCCTAACTCTACAGGGCAATGAAAAGCAGATAACAACTCTACCTCTCTTTGTTCTACTGCTATCTCTTCTCGTATGAGTAAACTAATGAAAAGTCAATAGCTGTTTCCTGTTAAGTGGGAGGTGCCATCACAGTAATGGGAAATAAATTTACACACTTATCTGAGGTTCCTTCCCCTGCATCAGACTTTCCCCGTACTTGGCTGTTGGGACTGACTGGACTGTGGTAGAGTCTCAAATATGTTCTGGCTGACTTCATAGCTGGACCCCCAGTCACGTGTCCCCTATCCTCCTCCATCTTCACCTTGTCCTCACTTTTCAAGCCAGAGGTCTGTGGTTTGGTCTCCTCTGAGGTATTGATGGTGGTGTGTGGGGTGGTGGTACCACCAAGTATGGCATGCAGCTCTTTGTAAAAGCAGCAGGTCTGTGGTTTGGCACCAGATCTACTGTTGGCCTCCCTGGTCTTCTGGTATGGGTGTCACAGTTCGTTGGTTTTCACACGGCACTGCTGCTAGTCCCTGTCATTCCCTTTCTCCTGCATCCTCCATGCAATCTGCTTATAGATGTTCATGTTTCTGCAGCTGATCCATAATTGTGTTTGCACAGCCTCTTCTCTCCACAGGCCCAAGAGATCTAATATCTTCAGTCTACTCCAAGCTGGAGCATGTCTGGATCATGTAGTCAGCATGGTCAGCTGGCCAGCTGCGTACAACAATGGAGAGCTGTTAGGTGTGGTTGCCAAGCTAGACAGGAAAAGCCATTTCAAAAATGCAGAGGGCTTTAAAGGAGAGGGGGTCTTCTGGTCTCTATGACCCCTAGGCAAGGGAGTTCACAACTGCGAGTGAAGCAGTCAGTGTCAGTAATTGTGGGATAGCTGCTGGCGTACTGTTAGGGTTGACATAGGTATCACAGTGTCTACACGTGTGTTGCATTGACTTCAGTACATCAACCATGGCTCATCGTTGTTTGGGAAGGTTGTGTTGCTGCATCGCTGTAACAGGGCTCTTTCATTGGTGGGAGACAAATTTAAGTGTAGATTGTAGACACATGCACAGTGGGGTCGACACAAGGTGGCTTAGGTCGGCCTAACTTTGTAGTGTAGACCAGGCCACAGTTTACTTCGTAGACCTCATTGCACAGGCAGCTTTTTGCTGCATCTTGCCAAAATCTGAAAGCCACTACCTAAAGTCCTGGGATGTGTGTCTGTACTCAAGATAGCTACACATGGGCTATGAAGTCCACTTACTAATAATAAAACTATGTCATTTTAGGCGTTGCTAATCAGTGTTCTTTTGTGATCCATTCATACAAAGTTTACTAAATATTTAAGTACGTATCCGTTACCAATGTGTCCAGCCCCCACATCCCCTGACTCCTTCCCCAGAACCCCTGACCCATCCAACCCCCCCGTCCCGTGACTGCCCCCCGAGAACCCCCGCTCCCCTCCCCCTTACCATTCCAGAGCCAGCCACGCCGCCGCACTCCCAGGTAGGAGCGGCAGGCCAGAGCGCTGGCCACGCAGTGAGGTGAAGCTGCAGGGGAGGGGAAACAGCGGGGGAGGGCCAGGGGCTAGCCTCCCTGGCCAGGAACTCAGGGGCCAGACAGTAAGGTCCTGCGGGCCGTAGTTTGCCCACCTCTGTCTCAGAGCTATAGGCAGATACATCAGGAAATTTCAGTTCAGAAGGTTCTCTCTCAGAAGGATCATTCACTACCTGTCTACTCAGGATTGGGTCGCTGCTCTCAATATCAAAGATAATGTATTTTTGTATCCCCATAAGACCATCACACTGAAAGTATCTATGTTTTGCCCTTGTTTCAGAGCATTTCCAATACAGAGTCTGACTCTTTGGCCTCTCCACCGCACCCAGAGATTTTACCAAATGCCTGGCTTTGATAACAATGTATCTAAGGAGACAAGGGATTTTTATCTTCCCTTACTTAGACAATTGGCTGCTGAAGCCCCTGTCCAAAGAAGAATTAGAAAGACATGTTCTCCATTTGGAACCTTAGGTCCCCTCATAAACAAGACCTTGTCTCTGTTGGCCACTTTTAACGGCTATTGGGTACTTCATACTTGTACCCTTGAAGCTACTGTCTATCCTCATTCCCCTCATTAGGACACAGGTTTGTGTAGCTGTTTCTTCTCTCATACTCCCTTACCCATTCTTCTGAGACAGTTTAGTTTGTGTATGGTAGCAGAGAAGACAAATGCCTGATCTGTTATGATATTATAATTTGAGAGTGTTCTATTTTAAAATGTTGTTACTGTATCCTGTATGTTGAATTTAAATTAAAAGTCTAAATGCCAAAGTGTTTGCTGCAAATAAATTTGGTGTCGGAAAGCTAAGGCAGTGCTTCAATTTCTCCATCTGTAATAAAATGGGGGTGACGCTTACTCACATTTATAAAGCTCTTTGGCATGTATGGATAAAATTCATTAATTGCTATGTTACATTAGTCCAGAATATGGGTAGTACTAAGTAAGTGAAAAGGATCAAATTGTTATGATGAATTGTTGCAAATTCATTCTTTTAATGTAAGAACAGAGGTTGCAAAACTCCTCAAACAGGCTATTAAAATCATGAAAGGCAAACTGCATGTTTAACTCTTTTGGCCTTTCTTCTCTTGCCCCTTCCCTCGATCCATAATCTGTTGTTCACTCAACTCCTTTCTCCAGTTGCCGTCCTGTCTTCAGGCCTATGTTTCGCTCCACAGAATAACAACAATATATTTTTATTCTGTTTCAAAATAGAATTGGGTGCCAGAAATTGGCTCTCTCCTAATGTAAACAAGTTGCATAAACACAAATGATAATGACTGTGGAGACAGGGGAAACAAGCTGAGCCTGAAGGGAAGGAGAACTCTTGAGCGGGAGGGTCTGATCTTCCACCCAATGAAGAGTCGCTCCCACTGAAGTCGATAGGAGTTCTATGAGCAGGATTGGGGCTGAAGGAGGGAAAGGACTCAAAGTATTTTAAAATAATTTTTTAAAAAAACGTTTGTAGTTTGGAAGCCCCATTTTCGTTACTTTTTGGTATTTCGTTTTCATGATACATTTTTTTGAGTTTTCCTGCCTCATTTGAAAGGAATGAGAAGCTGACACAGCATCTTTGCTGCACGTAAACAGCAGAAAAATTCTGTGCAGAGCATCTTATCAGAGCAAGAGGGATTATAGTAGCCCATCAAAGTAGACGGTTGCATATTCAGAGTTAAAATGAGCAGTTTGAAGTTCCTTTCTTTGCTTAGATTCATCTAAGAACTCTGGTGCTGCCATCATTCCATTCAGTTAAGAGAGAGTTAATTTTTCTTGCTATTCTCTCTTGAATTCTCATTATTTGTTTTCAGAATATAGTACTTTATGCAGACATCTTGTCAAGAAGCCTAACAGTTAAATTCTCTCTCCAAACATACACTGCATGTATTAAGATTCACATTCATATTTTGATATGCATTTTATACATTTTGCATCCTGTACTCTTTGCAGACAGTAATCAAAGTGTGTGTAGACCTGGTTTCACGCTGTTCCCTTCTCCATGTTAGGAATGGGAAGAGGATTTTCTTGTATTAAATTTCAGATTTGTAAAAGGATTTTGATAGCAGTTCACTTTGTTCTCCAAAAAGGATCTCAGAAGAAAATTAGAGTAGGTTAACTGTGTAATGGAGATCTCTAAATTACAAATTGCTTCCATGGGTGGTCTTTACTTAAACACTCTATTGCACATGAGTATACTCCTCTAATTTGCTACAAGGGACTTAGCAGGCTTTTCACGTTTTGTGTTGGGCCCCATGCATCATGTGGTGGTTATGGTTTTACAGTTACTTTGTATTGATTTCACAAATTTGTTTGAGAAGTTGAAAAGTTAATTGTATTGCAGATTACTCATTCAATCACTTGGCCAGTGCAAATTTTCTGGATGATCTTTTCAAATGTCAGAGATGCCGCTTATTAAAGACCGTAAAACTTGTCAGCTCATTCAAGAAAAATGGGCTATGTAGGACTGGACGTTAAGATTCTTTGTCTGAACTCTAGTAATCCAACATAATGTCTGTGTGTCCAGCTCACCAGAAGCTTGATCCTATGATAATTGAGTTTGATAATGACCTTCAGATCAATAAAACAGATGTCATGGTAGATATGTGCCTGGAATGCAAAGAACATTTGCAATGGGTGTTTCCTCTTTCTTGAAGAAGTGTCTGATAGCTGTAGAACTTTTCCCCTTGATCAAAGATGTCTGTCTGTCTGCAGATGATCAACAATGTTATATAACTTAGAAGCAATGACACACTTTTTATGCAGGTGAGGTTCAAGTGGTCTCAGAACCAATAAAGCAAAACAAGATTCCCTTGTTTAGCAGATCTCAGTGGGAGCAAATACAAGTAATCCAAATAGTTCCTGAATAATAATGTTGTCCTTGGTGAACTGTACATTGGGTACTAGACTAGACATGCAACAGTAATCTGTAAATTCTTCAGGCATAAAAATCTGACCTTCCCACTATTGCTATCCCAAATGAGACACCGAACAAAGAGACAGACCTAAAATATGTGACCAGCGTGAGCCACCAGAGAAATTCGACTTTGACACAACGATCCTATTGGTTTGGGCTGCACGTGCCAGGTGGCATAATTTAGACCTTCCAAGAGTACCTTGGAGATCTACTATTTCCACTCCCATCTAGTGTCTGTAAAGCAACTAAGGCCTGGTCTACACTGGTGAAATAAATAAAAAATTCCCACCCCTTAACCAACAAGCCCCTTGGTGGACTCAGTTATACTGGTATGAAGGTGCCTTATACTGTTATAGTTATTCCCGTTCCCATGTGGGAATATTTGTACTGGTATAAAGCACCTTCATACCAGTATAACTGCATCCACACTAGTGGCATTGTACTGCTTTATACCAGCATAGTTAAAGCGATACAACTTAATAGAGTATGCAAGCCTGAGTGTGGTTTTGGTGAAGCAAAACATAGACTTCTGTTCATAAGCATATAATCCCAACAGGTCCTCTACCAGTAAATAGGAAGAGGTTACTTCAGGCCAGTGGAAACAAGACTGAACTTTCCATGCTTCACGGGGTAAAACTGTTAAAACATTTTAACATTCTTTTTTTAAAAGGTTGTGTTTAAAAAATGCATGTTAACTTGTTTTAACTGATATATTTTAAAGCACAACCTAATAATTTTGGCCTCCCTGTTCAAATTCGGTGCTGGGTATTTGGGTAATTATGGTGATGTTGTATCTATGTACTATTTTGAATATATAAATAACTAAGCAATCACCAGTCCACATCACAGAACAGGAAAAATTCAGGTAGGAAGTATAGCAAATCAGCTGAATTGTTCATTATCTTAATTAGAATACAGCCTGAAATCAGCTGCCATTTATGTTGAAAATTAATTTTTTTATGCCTGTGATATGCCCGGGGTTTTGAAATATTGGCTATAGGTCAGAAATATGATCAATATGGATTGGATAAAAAGCTACGTATTTGTTATTATACAGTAACTCCTCACTTAAAGCTTTCCTGGTTAACGTTGTTTCGTTGCTGATCAGTTAGAGAACATGCTCGTTTAAAGTTACGCAATGCTCCCTTATAACGTTGTTTGGCAGCCGCCTGCTTTGTCCACTGCTTGCAGAAAGAGCAGCCCGTTGCAGCTAGTTGGTGGGGGCTTGGTACCAGGGTGGACCAGCAGCCCCCAATCAGCTCCCCACTTCCCGAAGTTCCCTGTGCGGCAGCCTCCCAGCATGCTATCAATTGCCGGCAGTTCAGCTGTCCCTCCCCCCACTGCCATGTGCTGCTCCTGCCCTCTTGCTTGGAGCAGCTCCCTCCTGCTTGCTGTGCTGTGGGGGTGGAAGAGTGGGGCTAATATCAGGGTGCCCCCCTCCTCCTGCTCCTGCCACCCGCTTACGACATCTCCATAGAGCAGCAGGGGGGACACGACAGGGCTCAGGATGGAGGGAGCTTGCTAGCAGCAGCTGCTGTCTCAACTTGCTTAAAAAGTAGAGTGCAGTCAGCCAGCATACTTAAAAGGGCAATGTGCATCTCTCACACTCACACGGTGTGTCTCTGTCTGCCATGCTGTCTCCTCTCCCTCCATTTGTGCTGCCTTGTAGAGAGTGTGGCTACATTAACAGCAATGTGTTAACCCTTGAGGGCTCAGCTGAGTACTTGTTCATCATTTAGTAGTAAGGCATTCCCTGGAAAATATTCCACCTTCTTCCACCCTCTGACTTCACCATCTCAACCAAGCTTCACAATCATCATTGCCGTATACAGTATTAAATTGTTTGAAAAAAATTTCCCTGGAACCTAACCCCCCCCCCCCCCACCCCATTTACATTAATTCTTATGGGGAAATTGGATTCGCTTAACATCGTTTCGTTTAAAGTTGCATTTTTCAGGAACATAACTACAATGTTAAGCAAGGAGTTACTGTAGTTATTTTTAACCCACTGAGTTTCATGCTTTTGAAAGATATAAGTTTTTTGTCCTTGCTTCTCAGCAGAAAACCAGGAAATCCTATGACTTTGCTCATTACTAGCAAAGGAATTGGAATATTTTTTCCTGAGTTTCAAAAATATTCTGAAGAGCAAGGATTTTGAAAATTAAGGGTTGGCTTTAGTCTATTTCCTATAAAGTTTCTTAATAGTAAATCTTGCATTCACACAATCTTACTTTTATTGAGATACTGAAAAATCCTTTTACAAACAAAGGATATACAAAATATACATGCTGACCACTTAAGCCACATCCATGGTAAAATGAGGCAACTGTTTACTAGTATACAGCAATGCCTATTAGGGTAGTAAATGAAAAAGACTTTGTCAGGAGGGAATTTAGTTAGAGACCATATAATTATTGACCCATTACCAAAATGGAAACAACAGTGTTTATGGCATATAATGTCAACTGATGATGGAACAAACAATTTTCAAACAAAATGCTAAAAATAAGATAAAGCGAAGCATTGTCAAATGAATGCTTTTACAACAGAACCTGTGACTACACTGAAAGCAATTTTGAACATGTTAACTTTTTTCCAAAAGAAAATATACGCTGTTGTTTTAATACTACTAACAGAGGTGACTTATGACTCCTTTCTTTTTGGAATGCTAATCTGTATTCTTGCACCACCAGCAGCTGGGATTTTAAAACACACACTTTTCTTGCCTTTTTGAGGTCTCGGGGAATGCAAAGAAAACAGTTTTTAAAAATGAAGGGCCTCTGTGGGTTTAAGTCACCAAATATTATTATTAGTTTTTTGCGGTCTTTTCAGTGCAGTCAACTTGCTGCTACAATCGTTCTAGCAAAAGGCACTGTCCATTTTAGGAGGATTCTTTTTTTCATTTGTGTAGTCATTACATAGTCCTTAGACATTTCAGCATGGATTGTTTTTTAACTTTAGGACACAGAGTAGAAGGTTAGTATATAAAACAGTGGCATACTGTGAAAGCTTATAGCTGTTGTATCAAAAAGCTGTCTCCAAGAGTAATGTTGACCGTTGTGGAGTGCTAGAATGTAGTATCTGAACATACTTTCTAATAATGATTATGTCTTCTGTTGAGAAAAAAGTGAGGGATTAAATGAGTCTCCGGATGGGGGGGGAAGAGTACTTTTAAATAGAATGTTGAATTGGATTTGTGCCTGCACCCCTACTGTTCTCATTTGAATGTGTAAAATAAAGGCTGATACCTGTACTTTGAGTGTGATCTTGTGAGCTGCTGAACACTTCCAAAGGGCCCTACATCTCACAGGGTCATGCCCTACAAGAGTAGTGCAAACCCTAATACAATAATTTAATACAACTGATTTCAGTGGGTTGGCTTCTATTCTTCAAGTGCTAACACAAATATTCCAATTTGCAGGGGGTTGTTTTATTCCAAATGTTACAATTTAGCTGGAGTCTTCCAGTTAGAACTACTTCCTTCCATCTTGGGAACAATGTTCATTAAGTCCTTATCGCTACTTATGTAGCACTCTCATATTCAAAGCAGTTTACAAATGCTCATTTCATTTTACTGGCTACAGTTCATATTCTGCTATTGAGTAAATACTCTTAGGCTTATTAGTTAGTTTGCCCTTGTTATGGATGTTTTGCTGATACATTTGATTAATGCTTGTAAATTTACAACCACATTACATTTTTCTATTCACAAATTCATAGATTTTCCTTATCATTGTATTATTATTATTATTTATTTATTATGTAGTAAGTAATTGTATTTTTTTACATTTATACAGTGGTGGTGCTTCAGAGGCCCCCTAGGCACTACACAAACATAGAAGTTGCAGTGCATGCCCTAAAGAGCCAGTAAGATTAATACAAATATATTTTACTGGTAACCAAATACAGTCACCACCTTAAAATTAAGTAGTTTATGAGCACACTTCTTTTCAGCTATTTCCAGGGATTTGTTTTGCTCTCCACTCCCCAAAAGATCATGTTGCGCTTCTGCTCCTGTTGCCAAAATGCTAAGAATGCAGAATCAGCAATTAAACTGTCTTCCTATTTAAGATCACAATTACAATAGGGCTGGATTTCCTCTCCCCTTTTTGTTCAAATCGTGTGTGTGTGTCCATAACCCTGAAGGAACACCCTATCCCGCTGCTTGTGCTATGTGCTTTTTTTTTTTTTTTTTTTTAAAGCTATCAGAGTAATCTTACCTGTTGGGGACAGTTGTTGCAGCTCCCCGGTCAGATGTGCTCAGGAACTTAGACACCTAGGGTAAAGTTGGTTAAATCCTATTTTGTCGCAATTATAGTTTCACCACTGTCTATTTTGCTTTTGAGCCTTATCACAATGTAGTTAGTAAAACTTTACTTTCAAAAATCTTTTGCCATTGCAAAGACCAGGTTGACTACTAATGACCCTTTAAAGGCACATGCTATATGAATAATTTATTTGTGATAAAATTTTCTTTTTTTAAGGTGATGGTTGTGGACACACTGTTCTGGGCCTGGAAAGTGGAACTCTTACTTCAATAAACTACCCACAGACCTATCCCAACAGCACGGTGTGCGAGTGGGAGATCCGTGTAAAATCCGGACAGAGAGTTCAGCTCAAATTTGGTGATTTTGATATTGAAGATTCGGATGCTTGCCATTTTAATTACTTGAGAGTTTACAATGGAATTGGAACCACCAGGACAGAGATAGGTAGGAGCTTTTATGTCCCTTTGTTTTTTAATGTTTGAATGCTGTTGTGTGGGGTAGAACTTGAAAAATATTCATTCCTTACTATTTGTTTGCTTTCAGAAATACTTAGTAAACTGTACTGACCATGAACTAACGCGTATTTAATGGTATACACACAGTAACTCTTCCCAAAATGCCAGAGGATTGTTACAATTACATTGAGTTCTAAGCAGGCTGGGACCTTGTCTATCTGTGTGTATGTGTACAGTGCCTAGTACAGTGAAGGCCTTTGGGTGCTATAGTAACACATGTAATAAATGATTAAAAGGAATGAGATGTGTACTGTATACGAGGGTCTCAAATAGGGGGAAGGAATGAATTTAGTGTAATAGAGCTATATTTTCTCCTGTTTCCAGAGCAAGAAAATCATGCAAAATTTTTCTTACTTTGATGGCATCTGCTCTTCACAATATTAGAAGAAAATTGATTAGCATGCAGTCAATTTGCTAACAATAGCACTCTCCTAAAAGTACTGTTATGGAAGAGTTAACTTGTAGCTGTTCTGTATGTTTTTTTGTAAGAAGGAAAGGGAGGGTAGAAATAAAAATCTAACAGTATGAAATTTAAGAATAATAACCCAAAGAAAAGGAGTCTCCAGATTTTCTGTGCAGATGCATTTTGGCTGTTTTACACTTTCTTCTGCAGATATTTCTTTCGGCAATGGTGTGTTTTTGTATAATCCAAGAATATTGAAGTGGCTGAACCAAATCTTGCTGTAAAGGCACTTGTGGAATGCTGGCTTTTTTCAAGCTGACTTGTCTTACTGTTACCTAGATGACTGTGTGAAAATAAGTACGTATGTGCTCTGAGCCCTTGAGCCAGACTCAGTCTAAAATAACAAAGCACTGAGGTCCTTAAATGGCAAGGAACGTCCAGTTGTGATCAGTCTGTTACTCACTTTTACAAGTGGCTTAAGTAAATATTCTAGTTCATTTGTTTCTTTTGTCTTTCAGCTGTATCCAGCTGGTGTGAGTATAATACGTTGAGCAGTATGTGTCTTTTTCTGCTACTAGCAGATTAATTTATGGAACTAATAAGGATGCTAAAAATTGCAGCCATAGCTAACACAATTTCTTGAATTTACATATTTGAAACAACAGACAGTGGAGATATTAGACAAGTGACTCCCATTTTGATCCTATCTCTTGATGTTGTCTCTAGGCACTTATCTCAGGCAAAAAAAAATCTAGGGTTAAGGTGGAAGGAATCTCAGTTCTGCCAAAAATCTCATAGGAGACTGTTAAAGATTTTTCCTCTTTCCCACTAGTCCCTAAAAAATAGCCAGGAAATTCCAGGTTAAATTTCAGCTTTGGATTTTGGGTTTCATTTATTTATTGCACAATTAAGATCAGTCAAAGATCTTAACTCTGAAGTGTCATCTGAGAACAACCCTAAATTCTGAGGCAATCTTGTGCATCCATGTGTGTGTATTGAATACCCTTACCTCTTAATAACTTTTTTGGGGTCATGAAAGAGATGAAGATGGATAAAGTTGTTGTAAGGAACTATGGAATCAGAGTTATGGTTGTGACCCTGAATGTATTTTGTATACTTTCAAATGGGTTTTTTTGTTTGTTTTTTATTTTTTGGTAAATTGAATCATTCATTTGGAATTTCCAGGCTTTAAATGTTTGTGGGTTTTTGGAAAACTACAAAATTCTCAAGTGTTGTTTGGCTGAAGAGTTAGTTTTTCAAACTTAACTTTCAGTTAATGAACTATTTGCCAGGGAATTTTCTTATATTTAAAAAAAAAATAGCATTATTCAGTGAAAGGAGTCCCTGCACAATTTGGAAGCCCAAGAGGGACTTGGTGAACCTTACAAGCATTTCATTCTTCCTAGACAACCTCTCATCTTCATGTGGCTTGATATCGCCTATTTCCATTTAACCTCCTATACCTTTCCTTTTTTCACCCCTTCAAGTCTGGGTTGCTTCCAGCAATCTACATCTGGGCCATTCATATTTTGCATATTTTATGCATATTTAAAAAGATACACACATTTTTGAAATATGGACATGTATATAATATATAGTTTTAAGTATGTTTATGTTTAATGTAGTCTCATAACACTCAATATCTATGTAACTTATTTGTACTGTCCAAGAAAGTCTATGAGAAGCACTTATACTTGTTAGAAGTGAAGTTTTAAATCCCTTTCAGTTGCATCACATGAAGGCAGACAACTAAGTATTGACAAATTTTATAAGTGTATGTATAGAAATGCTAGAAGTCTAAATACTAAGATGGGTGAACTTGAGTGGCTGGTGTTAAATCGGGATATTGATATAATAGGCATAACAGAAACTTGGTGGAACGATGATAGTCAATGGGACACAATAATACCAGGGTACAAAATATATAAGAATGACAGAGTAAGTTGCGCTGGTAGGATTGTGCACAATATGTGAAAGAAAGCATAAAGTCAAATATAGTAAAAATTTTAAATGAATCAGACTGTACATAGAATCTCTCTGGACAGAAACTCCATGTTTGGGTAATAAGACTATAGCAGTAAGAATATACTCTTGACCAGAATGGTGCCGGTGATCATAAAATGCTCAGGGATATTAGAGGAGCTACAAAAACAGAAAACTCAATAATAATGGGGGATTTCAACTATCCCCATATTGACTGGATACATATCACTTTAGGACAGGATGTAGAAATAAAATTTCTAGACACTATTAATGACTGCTTCTTGGAGCAGCTAATCCTGGAACCCAGAAGGGGAGAGGCAATTCTTAAGTTTCTATATGGTCAGAAACGTGATGAGCCAAAATGTAATCAGAGGGAAAAGTGAATCAGAGGGAAACTTTAAAAACCATGTATCTCAGAAAACTCTTCCTTTGTCTTGCTCCAAAATATCCAAAAATATTCTATCCCATAATGAGATACGGAATGTGAAATTTCAGGTGTGTTGATTATTTTTGATGGACGTAGGGGTGGGTGGGAAAGTCTGAAAATCATGCTTATCATGGGAAGTTAGCTTTGTTAGCACTTCTTCATAATAGTGTTCAATCCAGTATTTGAGTGCTGTATACCACTAAATGAAAATAAATGTTCTACAAATACATCTACCTGCAAATTAGGCCCATGTGAGTTCCAAGTGCATTCTTAACCTGTAATTATTACAAGGTACACGATACTGTTTATTGTGATCAACTGTTAGTTAATGGAAAGATCCAAAGTATAAATCTACTGTCGTGCATCGATTAACAGGGTAAAATTACAGCTGGTCAGCGAATACTGGGGGCTTGCGTTACCTGGAAGAAAGTTATTTTTACAAAAGTCTTGGAAAAAAAGTCTACAAACTCAAACCACAGTGGAAATTCCAGTCAGAAATTACATATCTCTACTAGAATTTGTGGATCTGTGATAATTTTGCAGAACAACATCTTCTTGCGTCTAAAGATCTCCACAAAAATTGTGATATACCTTAAATACCTGATGGAGAGAATCCTCCCTGAGGAAGAAATCCCCCAGATAAAAAATATGGCTTATTACAGAAATAATGAAAGTAGACTTTGATTTGGGAAATACATTTTGCTGCTAAAAGAAATGTTGTTTTTTGTTATTATTTTAAAGCAGGTTTTAACTGTTGTTGCTTAGAACAAAACACCCGCGCTCACCAAACGTATCTTTTGACTAATAATGGCTAACTGCTTCCCAGATTTTTACTTCTGGGGGAATTCTGTGCCACTGCGCATGCACAGAATTCATGTCCGCCACAGAATTTTTTGCTTCCCTGCAGAAAATAACAGGGAAGCAAAGGAATCCGCAAGAGGGGGTCACATGCTGGTGTAGTTTCTGGCACATGGAGCAGCTGTGGGGGCAGGACTGGGGGTGCCCATGCGTGTAGTTTGTGGGGGGCATAGCCCATCCAAACGTGGTGCTTGGGTGGGGCATGCAAGATCACGTGCCACTGCCTCGCCCCCATTTCTGTAAGCATAAAGTTGCCTGGGTAAAGGAGGGTTTTGCAACAGCTAGCCGACTCTGCAGCTGGACACCACTTCCTTGGTCCTAGTGCTGGTTGTACTTCCCTTCTGTGTGCTGGGAGCCATCCTGTTTTCTGTACAATGGTGAGTGCCTGTGGTGGGGTAGAGCAGGGTGGGTAGAGGAAATAGGGGAATGGGAGTGGGGTGGTAGGGTGGGGGGAAGAGGAAGTGGGGAAGGAAGGGGGATGGTATAGTGTAGGGGGATGTGGGAGTGAGGGGAGAGATGAGGAAGTGGGGAGGGGAAGGGGGATGGGATAGGGCACTGTGCGGGGGGAACCTAGCATGCGGCATCCCCTTGGCAGCAGCTGGGGCTCCCCGTTAAGCAGGCCCATCGAACCCCTACCCCAACAAACCCCACCACCCCTGCACATGGACCACCCTGATGAGCCTCCCATCCCACTGAGCCCCAACTAGCTGCATCCAGACCTCACCCTATCGAGCCCCACTCCCCCAGCATCCAGACCCCCCTGTTAAGCTCCCCACACCCAGACCTCTGCTGCTGAGCCCCAACCACCTTCACCTGGATCCCCCCGAAGAGTCCCATTGTCCCTGCACCCAGACCCCCCAATGAGTCCCTGTGCATCCAGATCCCCCACTGAGCTGCCTGCACCCCAATTGTCCCACATAGAAATCTCTCACCCCACACCTGGATCCCCACCCCCCACTAAGCCCCTCCATACTTGGATCCTGCTTGACTGAGCCTGTCTACCCATATCTTGTACACCTGGTGCAGAGGGGCAGGGCCCTGGGGTGTTTCTGGGACAGGCCCAGCCCTTGCGCTGTGTCAGGATCAGGTACAGCCTCACCGCCAAGTCCCTGTCTGGGAGTGTGGGGAGGCTGCAGGGTGATCTCCCACCTCCGTGCAGCCAGTGGATGTGCTCCCCACAGCCATGCTGGAGCCTCCACATTTATTTATTGATAAATAAAATTTGAATAATTTTGCAACGTTTTAAAATATTGTGTGCAGATTTTTTTTTTTCCTCAGAATTGTTAGGTGCAGAATTCCGGTAGGAGTAGATTTTGGAGATGTAATGTAAAGTGTATATTAAGCCAAAGTACAGAGGGGGCATTATGTGGGGATTAATGGTCAATTAGGAAAAGCTGATGTCCCACAGTGACCATCTCAGGTTATCAGCTCATTCCAACTATTAATTAGTACCCAAAAATGGATTAGGTGACCGTTTGCTATTAAATATAAAAACATGTTTAAAAGAAGCTTTCTTCTGGACTTCTTCTAACTTCAGGATTCTATTCATTTAACACCACTGGTATGATGTAATGTGAGCGGCACGTTGTATCCTTGGTGTCTGCTTCATGTCCGTTAAATGAAAAATGTTGGAAGATCATATCTGACTGCTTCAGATACTGTTCAAGATGATTTTAGCGAACATTAAATGGATTAAACACTGGATAACTTGTCATCTCAAAATGTAATATTTCATGGATTCATCATCAAGGAGTGGGGGAAGAGTTTCCAGTGGAGTCCTAAAGAGATTAGTTCTCAGCCCAGTTCTGTTTAATATTAGTATAAATAAATTGGAAAAACATATGTATAATCATTTCTGATAAAGTTTGCAGATGGAATCATGCAAGCACATGTATTTTTCACCCTACCTAGTAGGCTTAGCCCTTGAGCTAGTAGGTACTGGGGAAATTTTTCTAGCTTCATGGTTGGTCTTGCAGTATACATAGTCAGGAGAATTCAGTTTTTATTTTTTTTTTATAATTTTGCTAGATAATATCTATTCATTTTTAAGCATTTTTTATTTTTATCTATTTAAATTTTCACACTTATGGGAAATTATGGCGGGAGGAGGTTGTCAGACAATAATTATTTAATGACCATAGATGTTTAGATTCAAAAAGTTAAAGCTTTGTAACTGTTGAAACACAAATTGTCAACATCATGTGTCAAAATATACAAAGTGAACATCCTTAAATCAAGCTCTAATAAGTTCTTACGCATCATTTGTCTGTCTTTGCCTATCTGTAAATGTTGATTATTGATGGAAATATTTTTTCATTGCTTTGCGTATGTATGGTAATTTGACTTTTACTGACATTTTACTAATAAAAATCTAATCCTTCCAAGCCTAGGGTATACAGAGTTCACCAGGAGTCTGTGTCCATGGTAAACGTCGGGCTTTGCTGCGAACAAATGCTTTCCCAGGGCTAAAACCAGACAATATTTAAACCTGTTGTGTTCTCTACAGGTCTTAATAGTATAGGAACCTGTTGTTGTAGTCTTGCTGATACTGGGACTTAGTTCTCATGCAATTTGTCATATTGTTGTTCTTTCCTATTTAACAATGGTAAAAGATTTAGAAAATGTGAACTGAAGAAAGGTTAAAAAAACCCGGATATGTTTAGTCATGAGAAGGAAGACTGAGGGGGATATGATAGTTCTTCAAATGTGTGAAGGGCTGTTATAAAGAAGATGGTGATTGGTTGTTCTCCATGTCCACTGAAGGTAGACAAGAAGTAATAGGCTTAATCTGCAGCAAGCGAGATGTAGGTTAGATATTAGGAAAAACTTTCTAATTACAAGGATAGTTAAGTCCTGGAATGTGTTACCAAGGGGAGTTGTAGAATACTCGTCACTGAAGGTTTTTAAGAACAGGATGGACAAACATCTGTCAGATGGTCTAGGTTTACTTGGTCCTTCCTTAGTGCAGGGGGCTGGATGATCTCTTGAGGTCCCTTCCAGCCCTACATTTCTAGGGTTCTCTAATAGTCCTATTTAACTGTTATGCTCTTTAAGCTCATGTTCATAGGTATCCGTGATTGAATCAACAGTTGAAATGCATATGATGTCTGTACTCTCCATCTCAAATACTGAGTATGTTCTTCACTCTTTGATAATCAGTTCACTTTAGCTTCAGTGTAATTAGAAAACTTAATGTGAGCTTACACTGAACATAAACAAGTTTTTTTAATGATTTTTTTTTTCTTCATAGGAAAATACTGTGGTCTGGGCTTTCAGATGGACAGTTTAATTGAGTCAAAAAGTAATGAAGTCACAGTACAGTTCATGAGTGGGACACACCTTTCTGGGCGTGGATTTCTTGCCTCATATTCAACCACTGATAAATCAGGTATTTGTCAGATTTAGTTAGTTGCTCTGTGTAGTGATTAAAATTAGAGCTGTATAATGAGTACAAACTTTTTTTTTTCTGTGTTTTCAACATGAGCAGTAGATATCTAAAAATACACACTCTTTTAGATGTAGTCTTAACACTTCTCAACTGTCCTACCCCCTGGATACACTAAGTTACTGTTCAGAGTGGGTTAAGGAATGAAACCAATGAAACAGCTGCTTTAGATAAAAGATTAAATACATTTGTTTGGAGTATAACAACCAAGATGCTGGATGAAGGGTCCTGAAAGATTTTTAGTGTAGATCACCTCTTTATAGAGTGGCAGTACCATGGAATTCTGATCCCATTCCCAGTCTCCTATAATCCCTGTGGTAACTGTTGCATTTTTCTACCTTTCTGTTTTCACACACATCTATCAGTTCCAATCTTTCTGTCTGATCTGCTCCTTGTTACCTTGTCCCTGCATGGTATCCTATTTCCTTGCTTCCTCCAAGTGTTCTTATGGCTGGGGCTCAGCTGGCGGCTTCTTGTCTGGTTTTTTGCAAACAGCTTCTTTGTTCCTCTTTCATGCTCTTGTGGTGCTGTGGCCTGCAATGGAGGCTGCTATACGTGTTCTTCCTCTTCCTTTACACTTGCTTCTACTGGTTTTCTACTTGCTTCTATCCTCCAGTTCTCTGTGGACCACCAGCAAGTGTTCTGCAGGCAACAGTTTGAGAATCTCATTGTTAGAGTTAATACTACAAAAAAGTGGAGGAGGTCTTCCTTTCGTTCTCAATTTTTATTATATTTGTTTTCTAATTTGACTTGCATAAATTTGTGTATTTAAACTTGACAGCTCAGATTGACATAGTGGATAAACGTATCAAATTTTAGTTGTCACTCTTTGATAATATGGGAAAGGCCCTCCTGTGTTCTGTATTTCATCCTGCTCCACTTGTGCAAGACTGTCATATGTTAACACCCAGAACCCAAAACTAATTTTATCCTCTCTATTCAGTTTCCTCTTGTAAACAGAGTATAAGAATTTCTGACTTTTTAAAACATAGTACAGTGCACTTACAAGCATTCTGTGAAGCATTCCCAGGAATAATTAAAATTAAACTATGCAAAATAAATGAACAAGATCAATTTTGTAATGTTTACATGCTAAATTCTCAGTGGATTTTACCAGTCATTAGTACAAATTATCAAGGTTCTACTGTAACAGAAAAGATTCACAATTAGTATGTTATTTAACAAATACATTGTTTTTCATTCAAAGACTTTTCTGATTGAACCACACACAACTGATGAGTCTGAGAGATTCAATTAGATGGGCTTCATGTACTTTTAAAAAAGTTGGCTAAAATTGGTTGTCTCTGTCTCGTTCTTGACTTAATATTTTTTTTCTTTCCAGACCTAATAACCTGTTTAGACAATGCAAGTCACTTTTCTGAACCAGAATTCAAGTAAGACTGCTCTGCTTGTTTTTTCACCCTTCACTATGGTTATTTTACTGTGATTTTATTCATGCTGTTACACACATCATTTGCACTTTGTTTCAAACAGAGTCCTTTGGATGGTGAAATTTAAATGATTAAATGACAAAATCATAAGTTTTGACCTTATAGTTTCCAAAAATGAAGATAATCATTTTAGTATGCAGTAGAACCTCGCTAATTTGCACTAAATGAACACACAGAAAAACCAGCAGTGTCCCCGCTTTCCAGCCAAAAATTAATAGTGCTAATGAGGGCTCATGTTACTAAAAATTCATTGCTTTTACAAAATAGATTACAAAATGTGCAGTAGATAAAGAGAAATATTACCTTTAGTACTCATGTCACCCCTAGGGGATGGTACTTCTCTGAAACTGTTTACAGTCCCAATGACCACCATAATCACTTCCCCACACACACTGGTTTTTTTAGTTCCTGGAGGAACTGTGGTATCTCTCCCTCCTGGAATAGAATACAGTCCCTAAAGATACTGTGTGTGGTTGCGATATCTGTCACAACTTATATCTAACATACTTTTGTCACATGATAAAAGCATATTTTGTGATGCATTAGCCCTTGCTTTTCTATTATTTATTCACTTACTAATTTGTAAAATTAATTTGTCATTGGCCTCACAGTTAGTGTGAATGAATGAAGTTCTGCTGGGACGTAATAGGCATTTGTGTTCTTTCAGGTAAATGGTAGACAAGGCTAGTCATCAGGAGACCTGTTTTTCCCAAATAAGTGAATCATTTAAAGCTACAAAGTATTGTAAAGCCAAAACATTAATTTGGGCTACAATAGTTACATTTTGCCTATAAACTCATGGCACCACCACTCTTTCAATATTTGACCTTTGCAATCCTTTCTTCGCAATCTCTGCATATTCTACATTAAGGCTCCAAATCAACAGTTTGCCCCTATTCAGCAAAGCACTTAAACACTTGCTCAGATCCCATTGACTTTACTGGGACTTGAGCACATGCTTAAGTACTTTGCTGAATAGTGTATTCCAACTTTTTTCCTCAGGTGTTTGTTTTTTCTTATTTTGTGGTAGAAAGTGGCACTAGAAGGTGAACATGTGCTTTCATCAGCAATACAGCTATCTTGCCTCCTGCTTTCTATGCTCTAAAAGCATTAGCCTGAAGCCAACCAGTTTCGTATGATTATATTCTGTACCGTACACTTTTCAGAGTTAACATTTTTTTAAACACGGTTTAAAAGGTTATAAAATAAAAAAAATCACTAATGCTAGAATTCTGGATTCTGATTTGAAAACTTCAGAATTTACAGATGTTATGTAGTGTTGATACCAGACATAGGGATATAGACTTATTAAAAATGTAGTTAAAGCACATACTTTCATGACATTCCTGTCAAATGCCTGGTTTTTACTGTTCTAACTCTTTTCCCGAATATATATTTCTGATTTATATGCAGTGTTGTTGTAGCCATGTTAGTCCCAGGCTATTAGAGACACAAGGTGGTTGAGGTACTATCTTTTATTGGACCAACTTCTGTTGGTGAGAGAGACAAGCTTTCGAGCTTATACAGAGCTCCACTTCAGGTCTGGGAAACATGCTGAGTGTCACAGCTTAAATACAAGGTAGGACAGATTGCTTAGCATAAGTAGTTAACATTTTTCAAGGGGCCATTTTTAACAGGCCACTTCACCTTGAATGGCCCCTTGAAATATGTTCTCTGCTTATGCTAAACAATCTGTTCCACCTTGTATTTAGCTGTGATGCTCTATTTAGCTGTGATGCTCTGAGTACATTTCCCAGACCTGAAGAAGAGCTTTGTGTAAACGCAAAACCTTGTCTCTCTCACCAACAGAAGTTGGTCCAATAAACAATATTACCTCATCCACCTTGTCTCTCTATTTCTGACTTGACGGCTATCTCAAATTATGACATACTGATAGGTGGCAGCTTTAGACAGCATTATAGTACAGTATTATAGTCCTACCAAACGGCCAATTGTCTGTTTGTGGTTTAAGCTGCAAAACTATAAATTACAATGTGCTGCTTGCTCTTTTTAAAGTGAAGTGCAATGGCATGCATATATTGACTTCATATCTCCTTTTCTTCCAGTAAGTATTGTCCAGCTGGATGTGTGATTCCTTTTGCTGATATTTCTGGCACTATTCCTCATGGATATAGCGATGTAAGTAAATTTAGACAGTACAGTATATTCATTTTAAGTTTGATTAAATTCTGCACTTTTTGATAAAAATCTGCTACATATGTTTGTTTTCTGTCAGCTCTATTTCCTTGGCTCTGGGAGTAGATACTTCCTATTGTGACATGCTACTGATTTTGCTCAGCTGCTTAATGGCTGGAGCTCCGGACGTTGCTGTCTCCAAGAAGTGGTTAAGCACTCCATAGTCTTATGTTTTGATATCCGCTGAGAAATGTGGATCGCTAGAATAATCTTCGGTACTTCCCATTTTATTTCTGTTGGCTGGCTGTCTCAAGCCTATAACATTCATGTTCCTAGAGAGGAATCTAACTTCTTATTGGCATCCTCTGATTTCATGACACTAATGGATCTCAATAAACAGCAGTCATATTTTAGCTCTTCCTCACAGAATGGAGATTGATCATGTGCACTACATTATACTCTGGCAACAAAAATAGCTGATTATTTAGTGTTTCCTCTTGTAATGTGTATAAAAGCATCTAAGTTGTGTGTGTTTAAGTGCTAAAAAGTGTATTCTCTGACAACAAACAGCACAGATGAGATAACATGATGAGTGGTGCTCTGTCAACAAATAAGTATGTAGCGTCTCAGAATTGAATAGTGAGCAACTATACCCTTTCTGCACTTTCTGTTAAGAGAAACGGGTTACAGTAACCAGTTTTTTCCCACCTGTCTTTTAGAATATGTAGATATGTATATTCTCCTTACCTAGTCTAACCTAAAAGATTCTCAGGAAAATAATCTTAAACTGAAAATCACTTGCATCACCTAGTATGTAAGTTTCAGCAAAAGACCTTATTTAAGCATAATATTGTATTCTGTACACTTCCATTACACTTCTTTTTTAGAAAACAGAAAAATGCAAAGTTGTACATTTCATGTCTTATAAATTCAAAAATGAATGGTGCCTGTGGGGAGACAATTAAATAATAACAGTTTCTTTATGGCATAAACATTCTGAAACAGTTCGGGGAAAAAAATATGAACATTATTTTCTATTTTCTTCAAAGTCCTCGTCACTTTGCATGGCTGGTGTGCATGCAGGAGTGGTGTCCAATATTCTGGGTGGCCAAATCAATGTTGTAATCAGCAAAGGCATTCCATATTATGAAAGCTCTTTGGCTAACAATGTCACCTCAAAAGTGTAAGTATATTTGCTCTGTTGTTTTCATATATTTAATGCTAACCTCTTGGTAATAGGAGATGTAAATCAATCTGTGATCATCAGTTGTATCAACGGAAAACTGTAAACCAGTGGAGTTACCCATCTATAGCAATGGTAGATTCTGTTCTAAGTAGGTTCTTATACTGTACTCATTTTTGTGGTGCATATGATTTCCTGTCCAAATTATTGTAATATCTAGGCCATAAGTGAAAATTAAGACTTCATTGCAAAACTAGGGAAACTACCTTCAAAAATATATGGCACAACCATAAACTCCGAATAGTTTTTCTTTTAAATAATAATTTGATTGAATATATGGTGTTCTTGGCTGCTACTTTGTAGTTTGTTGTCATTCATGTATATAATAAAACTATATAATTTTTGTAATTCTTAGTTCAGTTTTTCTACAGTGGGATAGTTTTTTTTTTTTCATTTTCCATTTTAAAAAAATAGCCAGGGAAGGTTTTTTTTAAAAAAATTCTTACCTATTTTAGTGTAAATCTTCAGTTTGAATCTCAACAGCTGATACTATAGCATGTCCTATTGCTGATTGAGACACTGAGGAAAGAGCAGGTGGCTGCTCTTAGTTTACTTGAAACCTGTTTTTCAAGGCTGACTGCTCAGACCAATCTGAAATCCATTGTGGTATGTCTTTGGACAAGTAGATCATTGTCTGTTTTGAGACCCCCATCTACATTTGGGAAATTTTCTGAAAATTTTCTGCCATTGCTAACCCGCTGTTCAGCCTCGTTGATGACCGCAATGTTGGGAGCCCTAATGTAGAAAGACTGCTGGCTGCTCCTGGCATTTTGAATACTGTATCATGTAAATTTCTTTAGAGCAACTCTAATTGGTAGGGTGTAAATGCCAGTGTCTGTTCTACACTAGGGCTCCCAACATCGCAAATACCAGTGGAGCTGAACCAGTGTTGGTCACAGTGGGAAATTTTTAGAAAAAAGTTAGTTTAAACAGGACCTAAATTCCCACAGTATTCTTGTCAGCAAGTTAAAGAAGTATGGGCTGGATGAATGCACTATAAGGTGGGTAGAAAGTTGGCTAGATTGTCGGGCTCAATGGGTAGTGATCAATGGCTCCATGTCTCGTTGGCAGCCGGTGTCAAGTGGAGTGCCCCAGGGGTCGGTCCTGGGGCCGGTTTTGTTCAATATCTTCATAAATGATCTGGAGGATGGTGTGGATTGCACTCTCAGCAAATTTGCGGATGATACTAAACTGGGAGGAGTGGTAGATACGCTGGAGGGCAGGGATAGGATACAGCGGGACCTAGACAAATTGGAGGATTGGGCCAAAAGAAATCTGATGAGATTCAATAAGGATAAGTGCAGGGTCCTGCACTTAGGACGGAAGAACCCAATGCACAGCTACAGACTAGGGACCGAATGGCTAGGCAGCAGTTCTGCGGAAAAGGACCTAGGGGTGACAGTGGACGAGAAGCTGGATATGAGTCAGCAGTGTGCCCTTGTTGCCAAGAAGGCCAATGGCATTTTGGGATGTATAAGTAGGGGCATAGCGAGCAGATCGAGGGACGTGATCGTCCCCCTCTATTCGACATTGGTGAGGCCTCATCTGGAGTACTGTGTCCAGTTTTGGGCCCCACACTACAAGAAGGATGTGGATAAATTGGAAAGAGTCCAGCGAAGGGCAACAAAAATGATTAGGGGTCTGGAACACATGACTTATGAGGAGAGGCTGAGGGAACTGGGATTGTTTAGTCTGCGGAAGAGAAGAATGAGGGGGGATTTGATAGCTGTTTTCAACTACCTGAGAGGTGGTTCCAGAGAGGATGGTTCTAGACTATTCTCAGTGGTGGAAGAGGACAGGACAAGGAGTAATGGTCTCAAGTTGCAGTGGGGGAGGTTTAGGTTGGCTATTAGGAAAAACTTTTTCACTAGGAGGGTGGTGAAACACTGGAATGCGTTGCCTAGGGAGGTGGTGGAATCTCCTTCCTGAGAAGTTTTTAAGGTCAGGCTTGACAAAGCCCTGGCTGGGATGATTTAATTGGGGATGGGTCCTGCTTTTGAGCAGGGGGTTGGACTAGATGACCTCCTGAGGTCCCTTCCAACCCTGATATTCTATGATTCTATGACCTGAATGAGCACTGAAATAGATTTTATTTTTTTTAATGGATTCATAGTCATGTTTTCTTCTGAAGCACCAACATACTGTGTTATGGAGTCTGCAGGACTTTGAGTATTAAAGGATTACATATTGTCAGAAGATCAAAAACTGAACTGGGCTGTTGGTATTTGTCTAAATTTGAAGCATCAGTGCTGCAGTGCTCTTTGAAATATTAGAACTTGTAGAACTGAGCTTAGGTTCAGTTTGATCTATTAATGTTTCAAGTGTTGTTGTGCCTGGACATTTGGTACTTGGAAAAAGGATATTGCACAGTGCAAATTGAGAGTAATGTGGTGGTCCTCTTGATTTAGAGCCTTCTTCTGGTGTGACAAAACCCCAGTAAATGAGAGAGGGTTTGGGTGGAGGGAGTTGACCATTGTTTTCTTGTTCAGCTTCATCATTTAGATAGCCAAATCTTTTTAATTTGCTCTTCTTCTAGATATATCATTAGCTGCACTTTTATACTTTTATTTTACATTTGAAATGATTTAAACTAGGTGGTACTTTCTAGGCCAGGTTTTAGCCTGAAGCAAAGGTGCTCAGACTGACAGTGCTGAAACCATTATCCATAGTGGTGGTAATAGGTGCTACTTCAATAGAAAAAATATTTGGGTGTGAATAGGTTCCTGGTGGGATGTAGTACTAGAGGAAAAATAAATTTGAGAACAATTTGTCTTAAATGTTTCAGTGACGGCCACAAAAAGAGCTTTCTTTTTGTTTTTTTGCAGAGGACTATTATCTGCAAGTCTCTTCACGTTTAAGACTAGTGGTAAGCATATCACTCTATGTACTGCATATTGATTTTTGAGACACTTTTTTTAAAAAATAGACCTGTTGTGCGTGCAACTGACATTTTTTTTATCGTGTTAATCAAATACAGTAGTACATTTTAGATTTTTGTGTTTTCACTGGATTATTGTGAGGATTGGTCGGAGTTTGAGGACTTGGAGTATACAAATAAATGCTGAGTATCGTTGGTATCGATACTTTTGTCTAATTTAGTGAGACCCTTTAATTTAATTCAGTTGCTCTGAGACATATTTTTACTTACTCATTCCTAAATTAAACCTCGACATTTCCAGGTTTGAGACATTTAAAAATGTGTTCCCTCCAGCCTCCAAAGTTATTGTTTAGCCAAGTTATAATTATTTGGCCCTTTAAATCTTTTCCCATATGCCAATATTCAAGAAGGTTTTTTTGCCCTGCTACAGAAAGAGATGTTCTTTTACCTTTTTGTTGCTTTCTTAATATAGTTTTAAAATATAAGAATAAAATTATTGTAAATGTATTCTGAAAAGTGGCAAGGTTAGTATTTGCTCAGTCATTCTATATTTGTAGCAGTTTTTTTACATTCTATTTCTCTGTTCTGTTTTACTTCATCCTTAAAGTTGCCTCTTGCTGAGTGTAAACTGAGTTTTAAAAAATATAATTCTCAAGCCACTTAATTTGTATTCTATGTTCTTATCTTTCTGGTATTGAGATGCCCAGAACTGAATATAACATGCCAATCCAGATTCTTTCTTGCCAGAGCCTTGCCAAGAAACTGTCAAATCCTTGTTATGCCAATATGAATGCCTCTGCACATAAAGCCACAAATTTCATTGATCCTTTTTGTTGGTGCATTGCATTGAAAACTCTCATTCAGTTGCTGTGCAGTATAATTAGTCTTCTATCTTTCAGAGCATTACTTCTTTCCATGTTTTACCCTTCCGTCCAATATCTCTTCCAGCTTATTTTCTCCAAGATACATTAGCTGTTGTTTTCCAAACTGAATATAACTTTTCTGTAGATCACTTTTTAATTATTTCTTTGTCCTTATTGATATTTGTAACACCTCCCAATTCAGTTTCCTCTGTAAATTTCATTGATGTACTATTTACCTCCTGATCTAACTCCATTAATTAAGTGATTAATGTCAGACTAATGTTGCTCAGCAGCCCACTAGAGCAGTGGTTCTCAAACTCTTTTTTTCGCCGACCACTTGAAAATTGCTGAGGGTCTCGGTGGACCACGTAATGATCTTTCCAAATGTTGTTTGTACGGTTAGCTAACTATTGTAAAGTGCTTTGGATAAAAGCACTATATAAAAAACAACTTCTTTTTTTGTTCTACAAATAAAAGCACACAACTCGTATTTTAATATCAGTAGTCTTACCTTTCTAATGTGATGGATGTGCCTTCTCTCCCCCACCGCAGCAGCCCCAGTGCTGGGGCTGGGAAGGAGGGGGGTCTCTCCCCAGCCACAGAGCTGGAGCTGGGAAGGAGGGCCGTCTCTCCCCAGCAGCCACAGCACTGGAGCTGGGGAATGTCGCCTCTTTCTCTGGCCACTGCAGCCCTGCACATCCCAAATTCCCCCCCCAGCCCCTCTTCTCACCACACTGCCCCTCCCACCTACCCCTTGTTCCCCCCCAAGGCCAGCACCTCACCTTATATGTGCTTCTTCTCCAGGGTCCAAGCACCTAATTAGTGGAGCCACGCCTGCGCGGCTCCACTAATTAGGTAGGTGGCCTTTCATTCTCTCGTGTGTGGCTGCCCAGGCATGCACCTTAGAGGGAACTATCCATGGACCACCTGAATGGAGCTCACAGACCACAGCTTGAGAACCTCTGCACTAGACAACTCTTCTGTAACTGAATATGTTGCTTTTTATCATTACCCTTTGTTTATAGTTTTCCAATTTGAATTTACTTCGTGAATTTTTAGACACTGAAGTAGATAGTTTGCCATGGTGCATCAGACTTGCAAAATATCAACTTGCAAAAAACAATGAGGGGAGGGATAGCTCAGTGGTTTGAGCATTGGCCTGCTAAACCCACGGTTGTGAGTTCAATCCTTGAGGGGGCCATTTAGGGATCTGGGGCAAAAATTGGGGATTGGTCCTGCTTTGAGCAGGGGGTTGAACTTAGATGACCTCCTGAAGTCCCTTCCAGCCTTGACGTTCTGTGATTATATTACACAATATAACTTTAATTTAATAAGGGAGAATTCAGAGCAAGAAAATTTGATTGTGTAACTTTTGATTTTGCATCTGAGTCCTCCTCTCTTATGTTGTTCAGGTTGCTATGGGACACTGGGAATGGAATCTGGAGTAATCCCTGATTCTCAGATTACTGCATCATCAAGTCTAGAATGGCCTGACGAAACAGGCCAGGCAAACATCTGGACTCCTGAAAGAGCCAGATTGAAAAGGCCTGGACCTCCTTGGGCTGCTTTTACCACTGATGGATATCAGTGGTTACAAATAGACCTGAATAAAGAAAAGAGGATAACAGGTAAGCAGATCTGAGATGGCTTTTAAAATTGTATTTGGAAAGGTAGGAGTAGAGTAGGTTAATAACTGATGCAGTTTGAATCTGGGGTTATAGATCAGCAGCTGGCATTTGACTAATCAGAGCAATGATATTTCCATGGTCTTGGCATACTCAATAAATTCTAGAATTACAGGTGGACAAGTTAGGCTCCACTCTAGGGGGTGGTTTGGCATAGGATCTTTCCAACAAGTTTTGTGTAACTGATTCCCACCTTATATTGGTTTTTCAGCCTTGTCCTGTTTCTGCTGATTGTCCTCTTGGATCCACAAGGCTTTTCTGCCTCTCTTATATCCATGTTAATTCTCTTTAATGTGGCAGTTCACATTCTTTGAAGAGGATCACCCAAAGAAGGAGTTCCAATTTTACATAATACTTACAAACTAATTTTTGACTGCTGACTTCAGTCTTTTAGTGGTATCCACATCTTAATCTTCCTTTTTTTGTTTGTGTAACAGGGTCTAAAGTGATATCTGTTAGTCTGCATTCTTTTCCTAGTCCTGTTTTCTGATTAAGTAGTTAGATTTTATATCAAGTGACCTTCCTGTGATAAGGTTTTTCCTTGACACAATAACTACAAAAACTGCAGCGTTATACTTCTGCTTATAATCATTCTTAATTTGAAAAATGATGGATTCCAGGACTCATGCCTCATGTTGTTCTGATGCTTTCTTGTGTGCGTGTTGAAAGCCCTTTACTGGCCCTGTGCATTCCCATCTGTCTCCCATCTCATCATCTCTAACCATTTTCCTGTGCATAAAGTGATATCCTTCTAGTTCAAAACTCACGAGTTTCACCTTGCCATCTCCCATTAACCTGAACTCTAGCTGCTGTCACTCATGCCTCATTATATTAAAAGTATGTAAACAGAACCAAAAAAACCCAGGAAAATCACCAAACTGAATCAATGTCCTTTCTAGATGTTCTCCCAACAACTGTTTCCCTTTCCCTTTTCTCTTCATACCACATGGCCTGTTGTCACTTTCCCCTAATTGTTGTATTTAGATTAGAAAGCTGCCTTTTCTTTGGACAGACCTTGCAGTAAACATACACTTTTCATTTTAGTAGAGTGGGGTATGTGACCATAGAAGGAGAAAGTAACCATCTTTTATTCTTGCATGTTTTGTGCGTCTTACTAATGTCCGTGCATGTGCTCTTTCAACATTCACATGTCTCATTGAATTCATTGCTGTGTGCTTCAAAAATATTTAATTTTTTAAATATAGATGGCAGGAATGGCAATGCTAATTTATTTTTAACCTGTTTTCTGGTGGTTTTTTTCCTGCTTTGTAATTTCCTCCATATTTTCACTAAGCTATTTGGGGTGTGATCCCACACAGCAGCTATGTGCAAGCTTAACTTTTATGAATAGTCAGATGGACTACTCATGTCATAAAGTTAAGCAAGTGCTTAGTGCTTTCCTGGATTGAAGCTTTGATGAGTGGGATGTGTGTGACAGTTGGTTCTAGATAACTATTAATTCAATAATACAATAAGTGTTTTTGCAGTTTCACTGCATATTGAACAGCAGTGGAGTTTGGATCAGTCAGGTGGCAACTGTTGCATGAAGGGACCGATAACTATCAAACCATCTTACATTGAGATAACAATTAGTGTGTGCTGGGAAATGGAACCCCTGCCCCTCTTCGTGCCTTAATTCAGAGGTTTTTCATGACTTTGCCAATGTGATCACTGTGTCTCCCCCTGTATATATAATATAGCTGGCTTTTTTTTCTATTGCTGTTGTTCCATCTGTTCTTAGAATTTCCAGGGAGAAAAAGGATTAATTCATGTTGATTAAATCAGCCACCCATCTCTGAGAAGAGTTCTTCCCTAATTCTGTTCAGAAAGGCTGCTTGTGCCTTAGTACCTGTAGTAAATATTAATCTAGAGAGAGTAGTATCTGCTATTTTCTCAATTCTGCCATGGACACGCTGCTTTCTATTTGTGGAAGTGGGTATGTTCCTCAGAAAGTAGAGGACAGGGTACCTCGGAGGTACACTATACTTGCTCTGTCCAGAACACAGAAGCTAAGAGCTTTAGGTCAAATCATGGCCATGTGCTTCAGTGGATGGCAGCATGTGTTTTGTGTGAAGTAACAGAGAGTTGGAATACTGGCTTGTGGTGTCTGTCTTGGTCAGGGTCTGGGGATGTCCCTGGCATGTAAACCCAACTGTAGGGTGACCATTGCATGACAGGTTGCATTCACCTCTATTTCCTCTTCTGCATTAATTCTTCAAAGTTGTTTCACCTTTTCCTTATTGTGTGTGTTTGCAATCTGCCTCATGCCAAACATGAATTAGTTTAGGTGGGAATGGTTATGTTGTCTAACACCTATACTTCAAGAAGACAATCCTAAACCATCCCCTTTTAAGTGGTCAGTTCAGTCCCACCGCCCTCTCAGGAATTGTCTTTGTAATCCAGGCTAATAGTCTCACTGCCAGTGGCCGTACTGGTTCATGAACTTCCATACAACAAACTTCTGTTCTCTTCATTCCATCTTCTCTCTGGCTGTGATTCACAGTTTTGATCTCTACTTTTCCTTTAATTTCATGCCGGTATTAATACTTTCTATAAAAAACCTTTCTTAGACTATTATAATACTGTAAGTACCTGCCTAAGAAAGCTTGTGGTCTTTCAGTGCTGCTTATATATAGCCTGTGAATCCAAAACCAGGCTTTGATTTTGTCTTTGTAAATCCAGAACACAAGGCCAAATGCAGCAGCTTGATGCCCCATCAAAAAATGCAAAGAAAAAAAACGTTAAGGATGTTTTCAGAAAAGTAATTTCAAATAATTATAAGGAGACAGTCACCAGATGAGGAAGTTATAGATCCTGATGATTTCAGAGGAAAACCTTTAAAATATTAACTGACAGAGGCGAACCTATGTTTGATTCCTCTACCTAAAGTTGCCATATCCTGGGTATATGCTTCATGTTGTAAATCATTGCATGAAAACATTGACATAAACATTTTTCAAAGAGAGACATTTGGCATTTATGTAAATAGCAACCTTCATATTCACAGGCATTATAACTACTGGATCCACCATAGTAGAGTACTACTATTACATCTCTGCCTACCGAATTCTATACAGTGATGATGCACAGAAATGGACAGTATACAGAGAACCTGGTGTTGATCAGGATAAGGTAAAATTAGTAGAGATTTTCTAGATATAGTCACAGATGAGTGTTTAGATATTGTATATATGACCAGGCATAATGAGGAAAATTACCAAGTGATTTTTCTTCACAGCATGGTAAATTACAGTTTTGATCCTTGGCCCAAGAATAGCATATAAGCAAAATTAAATTTGAATTCATACAAATATCAACGTTCATGAGATGTGGAAAATATACAAATATCCAGTAAAGATCTGAATTACAGAAGTGATATAGGGAGCAAAGATCTCAATTGGAAAACTCCCATTATCACCTTTAGATTGACTTCCTATATTGTATTCCCTTCAGAATATCTAGACTTTTCCCCAAATAGATTTTTCTTCATCTTTAGTAACCTAGATCAGAGAGATTGTCTTTTCCCTGTGAACATAGCGTAGTATTGGGATTTCTCCTTTCTCTACGCTGTTCTGTTCATCTCCCCCCTATTTTCACAAAAATATTAGCACACACTCTTTTTTTCCTCATGACATTTAACTAATTAAATTCCATAGTAAACATTTCATTTTTAAAAGTTCTCATTCAGAATGAGTTATTGTAATATGTCACTTCAAAATAAATCCATATTAAAAATGTAAGATTATTAAACATGACATATATGGCACTAAAAAACTTTAAAGGTATCACTTGAATGGTGATAGGTAACAACAATTAGATAAGACTAATTCTCTCTCCTTAATTCTTCCCAGTGGTCTAAATTTGGATTCTGTTAAAATAATGGCAAAATTTCTGCTGACCACACTGGAACGAGTTTTTGGTTTATTTTGCTGCAAATTTTTAGGCACAGTATAGGTTACCTGACGGGTTTCAGTAGGTGTCTAGAATCCAATGAAGTGCCTTTTCTAGACCCTAAGGTGAATACGGGTTTTTTAAATGTTAAGTTATGTTAATTTGCCGTGCTCTTTTCCATACACAGGCAAAATTATAAAGAATCCAACCATATGTGGGAAGTCTGATCATTTGACTGAATATGCCAATACTTTTCTTGGGGAAAAAAAAGATGCTCTCTCATGCAGCTGAACAACCAACAAACTGTCCCATTGCTACTCTGTTAAGCATACTCTTTAAAATTACACTAATAACTTTATTAAGATGTCACAAGTACTCTTCATTCTTTTTACTGATAGAGACTAACTCGGCTACCACTCTGAAACTAATAACTTTAACATCAGGCTTTAGGAGTATTTCATAATGAGATTGTCCTACTTTGTCTCTTTGTATTACTGGTGTTATACTTTTGAGTGGGATTGCTCTTTTTTTTTCTTTCCCAAAATGTTCATGTAATGAAATAATATTTCAAGAAATGTTAGAGGAGACGGTGGCCAAACTTTTTAAAACCAAAAGTTAGAAATATTCAATTGTTTTTTTCTCATATCCAGGCTTGCCGTTCCAACACTTGCTGCTTCAGGAGGTAGGACCAGACTTGTCAATCATCCGAAAGGAGCTTGGTTCACCCTTCTAGAAAATTTCCTGGTTCCCTCTGCCTCCTAACATAAGAACATAGCAAGCACTTAGAGGAATAACTCTGTAACCACACTAGAATTCTTTTGTTTCTCCTAGTTGGGAACATTTCTGTTCCAGTGTGCAGTATCTTGTGGTCTCCCCAACCCCCCTGGCTTCAAGCAGAGCCAGAGACCAAGAGGCCTTAAATGGACAGATCCCCTGCAAACATTCCTGGCAGAGAGATCCTGTCCTTTCCGTATCTAGGAGGAGCCCTTCCCAGTGAGTGTGCTCTTGTAAGCTTCCTTCCAGTACCAGCAGAAGTGACATTCCAGTTGCTCAGCTGAAGTGAGGAACCTGGCAGCCTGAGTTCCCAGCAGTAGCCAAACAGGAAGGCCTAATCCAGAGGGTTCAACAGTTGTGAGAGCAGCACCACCATTGGTATAAATAATGGTGTCCTCGTTACCAGGTTTAGTTGTACATCTGCGAACGTGCCAGCAAACAGCTCCAGTGCTGCTCCAGATGCCTCTTCCTGCACCTAAGACTTCGTCAGACAGTCTCCTGGATGCCACTGGCAGATTAGGGGCTGCTTAGCTGAACTCTGCTCCAGAGCAGAAAAGCCTGTCCAGTCACTGAACAGTCACACCCAAACAGCCGCCAGTGTTTTCAGCCAGCCCTGGGGTAAGTAGCTCACCACTGCTGATTTTAAACTCCCTAGTCACCCTAGAGATACCCTGCTGCAGAATTTATCCAATGATTGCTGCCTGTCTTGGACAACTGAACCGTTTTATCATCATCCTCCATCTCAGTCATCATTATGGCTAGTGCAGGATAGCCTACCATCTGAGCTGGTCCTGAGAGCCTCGTCTTCCCCTCTGGACATGGGCTTTTATTCAGGAGAAGGCAAGCAAAGGTCAAGTATATCACTCAGAGGGAATTTCAAATAAGGTGACATTGACCCCTTCTGCTTCGGACTCCATTCTCTTGGAGGAGATGAAAGTGTTCCTGCAACCTATGAGAGGAAGCAAAGGCAGTCTTCGTCCTACCTTGCCTAGCCTCTACAAGAATATGGCTGACAGAAATTGGACGTAGATCTGAACCTCTTGGAGCTAACCAGTCTCACTGATCCTTCCATCTCATAAAGGATTAAATCTATAGCTCTGGTAATGAGAAGCCAAAGACAAGAAAGAGACATGTACTGAGGTCACCTGAGGACTCACTCATCTGAGAATTTCCTCTTCCAGACAACTTGCCTGCCTCAGGTTTTGATTCAAAGGAAGAATCCCAGGAATGGCTTGTCTTCTCTCTTCACTTTCTCTCCTGCCAAATATCCGCTCTGTATATTGGTACACACGTGGTTTCAGGGTTAAACACAGGATAGTGAGTCAACAAAGATGTACTTTCCTTAAGTTTCCAAAGTGGAACTCTTGATCCAGTCCTGGAAAATATTTAAAAGCAGAGTGAGGACTACCAAACAGGTTTAATCAGTACTCTGAAATGGCTCAAGTTTAACAAAGCCTCAGAGTTGAAGTCAGACTGCTGCCCTCACAAAGGGTTTACTCAGCCATTGCTAACCCTGAGAATCAGTCATCCTTTCAGAAGGCAATGTCCTATCCAAAGAGCTCAGTGATCAGAGGCAAGAGACCTCCTGGTTCTGTGGCCACATCTGCAGGACTTGACGTCTTCTCTTCTGCTGCTGCTACATGCTTTGTTTGTGCTATTTTGGCCTATATGGGTTTCCTCTCAGAAGATACCTGGCTGGGCCTAAGGACCTGAAATCAACTACTACATAAAATTGCTCTCTCGGAGCAGCGTTCATATAAGATATGTGCCTTGTTCCATTTGCTTTGTGGCTATCCAGGAGCACAATAATAGGGCATTTGGGGACTGTACAATGGAAGGCAGCCATCCAAAGACTTGATGGCTTTTTTACTGAGCAGTTTATTTTTGAGTGCTTTGAATGCTTAGACAAAGCAGTGTCCTAGAAGTCAAAGATTAGGATGAGAAAATCCTGCCACTGGCAAGATACCAGAGGAAAGATTTACAAACCTCCAGTTAGGAACAAACAGTCCTTTTGAGGTTGTTCTTCATCTAACTTCTGCTGATGAGACAGTAACTTGATGGAGAGGGTATTGGACAGATCCTGCAGTAAAAGTCCCAGAAGTATTTTCTCCAGATATTCACCCTGAACAACAAAAATACTTCCCTTCTCTCCTGTACCCATCTGAAGGGGGGAAACCCTGTGGAGTCATGCTTCTCCAATGTCAGCCAGTAGCCTGCCACCTCTTTGGATCAGTGGGCGACAGAAGTAGTTGATAAAGGTTCTGTAATAGAATTCAGATCCCTTCCAGCTAATTCCTGCCTCCTCCGTCCAACCCCCTTTTCTTATTTCCAATTTCTGATAAAGTATATCCATATGATTTGGGAGGTCGCTGTCCTACTTGCCGGTCGTTGAACCAGTACAAAACTGGAGAGATACGCAGGGACCAATTCCACAGTCTTCTTCATCCTACGCAGTCACAAGGGATCAGAGTTATCCTGGATTTGAAGAGCTTGAATGTGCATCCACTTCAAAGATTCTTATTCCTTCTTTCCCATCTTCACCTTCACGCTATTGCAAATTGCTCCCAAGAAGAGCTCTTAGCATTAGCCTGGAGTTAAACCAGGAATGGATTCAAATTGGGACACCTGGTTGAGAAACTGGACAAAATTGCAATTACTAATGTGCTGGCCTTTCTTGTTACCTTTCATCTTGCAATTCTAACCCATATTGTGATGGGAAGTCTTCTGTTGACAGTTGAAACATAGGAAAAGGTGTCTTCATTACTTTTATTTTGTGTATCAGAATTCTTAGGATAGCTTGGAAACAGTCACACTGGGAAGTCTTCTGCAGGGGGGAGTAAGACACTCCCTGGTGACTGACAGGACTGGTCCTGCCTGCTGAAGCTACACAGGAAAACTGACTAGGAGCTGTGAGTGAGCCTTGGGCAGCCTGAGAAGAAACGGAATCAGCCATTGATTTTAATTCTAGCTTTGACTGCCCTCTTCTGGCCTTTAAGGTAAAATCTTCACTCTTTAGCCTGATAATTAGACTTTATGATTGTCAAAGATGTTTAATTGGATCACTCTCCTGCCTGAGAATAGAAAGGTTTTCTATTTTTATACTTAGATATTAGCCTTTTCTACAGAGTATTTGAACTATGTGTTTTTGTCTCTAGTATAGTGACCACCTGCAAATTCCTGAAGTAGAATGCAATATGTAGCTTGAAAGTCAGTTGTGGTTAATAAAATGAAGTCTTAAATAAAAGAAGAAATATTTAAAAATACATTTGTAGTAATGTATTTAACCAAAACCCGCAAGTTGTGATGAAAAAGTATATTTAAATAATTGGAGCAAAAAGAAATCTATAGTTATACTGTAGTATACTTTCCTCTGCTCCTAGATCACTTTCTATACAGCTGTGCTTTTCAGTGGCCCCGTATATGCGGATGTTCTCCCTTTGATTCTTAAATATATGCATACTGCACAC